TTCCTGGTGACCTCCTGGACCCTGATGAGATTCCTCAGGTCCCTGATGACATGGGAACGACATCATCTTCTACTTGGGAGGTATGAAACCCTCTAGGAAAATAGGTGTCTCCATGGAAACCAGAGCACTTGCATGATCTGCCCAAGGGGCCTCTCTAAAGCTCTGACTCATCAGAGGAACCTGGCCCTGGAGAGAGTCCTGGGGAGGTGGGAGCCCCTGCTACAGCCTAGACTAGATTTCTGGGCAGCCTGGTGGGTGGGATGTGGCTTGGCACCAGATTTAACTCAATTTAAAGAAAGTCAAATAGATGCACTGTTTCTTGCATTCCTTATTTAGGCCAATCACACACGCATGTAGGACTCTTAGTGTGGTGCTGTAGGATAAGCACTTGACTGCTAACCACAAGGTAGCTGTTAAAACCTATTAGCCGCTCCTCAGAAACCCTAAACAGGGTTGCTATGAGTCAGAACTGATTCAACGGCATTTAGCAGCAACTCCCCCCCCACGTATGTAAATGGCTATAATGGTGCCCCCCTACTCCCCCGCACATAGAAAGGTTGCCACTATCACCACTGGAACAGGAATGAGACCTGGGCCTGTGGCGGCTCTGACCCGGATCTGTGGGGGGTGTTAAGTGAGGTCTGCCTGGTAGGCACCTGCTGGGGTTCTTCTCATATGTCATTCCTTTACAGTCCCCCCCCCCCCCAAGGTCTAGACTTGGGAAGGACGTGAGGGAATTTCAAGGGGTACTTGAAATGACCATAATCTTGTTCTGGGTGGTACATATTCATCAGACTGCACCCCCAAAATAGGATGGGGCTTTCCAGACCTTTGCTGTCTGCTCTGGACCCTGTGGCACATGTCCAGGGGACTATGGCTTGGCAGGGCCAGGGCAGAGCCTGTATCCACATGGGTGGGCGATGCAAACACTCAGGGAGGCTCTCCAGGCTCTCTGCTCAGCTGTGCCGTTTCCAGGGCGGAGAGACTGAGGCAGCCATTGCAACCCTGGGATTGTACTGGACCAGTGCCTGTGGGTGTGGGAAGGGCATGGTGGTTCATGGAAGCTCTCTAACTGAGGGCCCCAAACACCCGTTCCTGGCCTGTGCTCAGAGCCTGTCCACAAGCCCCATCGCGAGTCTCAGTACAAGAAGACTCCACTCATGTGGGGCCCGGCAATCCTAAGACCTGCCTCCAGTGAGTATTTACCCTGAGCAGGTGCTGGCCTAGATGCTTCAAGTTCATGTATTCCCATCAGCAGCCATAGAAGGAACTACCATTATTCTCTTCCTAATTAACAAAGGAGGATACAGAGAAGTTATGTTACATAGTTGGCAAGTAGTGAGTGTGGGCTTTAAACCCAATGAGTTCACACTCAGCCACTGGGCTGTGTTACTTCTTCTGAGACTTTGGAGAGTCTGGAGCCTTGTCTGTGGAGCCCAGCCAAACTCTCTCCTTCCTGTTATCCATAGAGCCAGGTCACGTCCAGCAGACAGGAGTGGGATTCTGGAGGAGTGGAGGAGGCAGAGTGGAGATGTAGTGGGGAGGGCAAGGCCAGATTTGGGTTGGCATCTTGGCTCTGGAACTCACATGCTGGTGACACTTAGGCAAGCTCCTAATCCTCTCTGAGTTTTGATTCTCTCAGATTCAAGAGGGGAATAATATACTGAGTCTCACAGGACAATTTGCAGGATGAGCTTGGTGTGTGGTATACTGTTGGTGCTCAGCTCATGGTTGTTCTCCTGGTGAATGATAGAAGAGTAAGCCAAACCACAGGGAAGCTACAAAGGCAGCCCACTGGGTTCCACCTGGTGTGGCCCTGTCTCCAGCTTCACATTCCCCGCCCCGTCCTCTGTTTAGATCTGTAACACCATCTCTCCCTTGTTTGGTAACTGAACTTTCTGGAAACATAACTCATCTTTGTCAAGCTTTCTGGTTTCACTTAACTCCGGTGTTATTGTTGTTAGGTGCCATTGAGTAGGTTCGAATTCATAGAGACCCTGTATAAGGCTTCTGAAGAGCAGCTGGTGAGTTTGAACCACTGACCTTCTGGTTCAAACTGACCTTGCGGTCTGGTGCTTTATACCACAGTGCCACACCAGTGTTTTATCTTGTTAAAAATAACAACAGGAATTGCATAAGATAAAACTCTTGAAGGTCAGGTTCTTTGTACTGCCTTTTGAGGCCAGTGAATCAAGGCTAACCTCTCTCCACACCATCTAAAGGTGACCAGAAGGGTCTGGAAGACAGGTGCCCCTAGACAAAGCTGTAGGTGTCACCACAGGTCGGTGACCCACTAATAAACATCTCGTTTTTTTTGACTGGCATTGAGGCACCAGAACAACTTCCCTAGCAAGGAAGGGAGTGGACATGTGTCCACTGAGGCTCTGCCATCTCTAGTGTGACCAACTGTCTCATTTTGCCCAGGATCGAGGACTCCCTTGTGCCACAGGACTTTCAGCACTAAAACCAGGTAGGAATTCAAGAGGCTTCTGTGTCCTGTCTCCTTGGGCACGAGGCCCCTGTTTTCCTACAATAACCAGGCTTGCTTTTCCATCTCCCAGGAGCCAACCTAAAGGCCTCATCAATTCCTTTGGGCCCATAAAAGGAAACAAAACCGGAGAAAGTCAAGACTGTTGCTGGGCTCCCACGCCTGCTTAACGAGGAGGCTGAGGTTTGGGTCCTAATGACAGGCCCTTTGAAGAACTGATGGAGACTTGGTTTTCCCGGCACCATGGGGTGGTGGAGATGAGTCTCCATGTAGTCGCCAATCCAACGGGGCTCCTTTTTTATGGGGCCAGGAAATGTTCAGGGGAGGCTAAAGAACAGGTTAATGAGGGGTTCTGATAGAAAGTGGTATTAACTTTAATGAGGAGAGAGGACTTTGTAAAAGCCAACGCCCACTGAAGCCCAGATATAAACCCTGGCCGAGGAGTTGCTTCTCCGAATCGGGGGCTTCCTCATCTCAGGTCTTTCACGTGTGCTTGGGCTGCTGTGAGGCCATGGCTTCCAAATGTCTCAAGGCCAGTTTCTCTTCGAGGTCTCTCAAGGGCCTGGGAGGGGCTGGTGGGGGCTCCGGCAGCTCCAGCAAGCTCCCGAGCCTCTCCCGCGGGGTCCAGGGTTTCTCTGCGTGTTCAGCGGGGTTGACCAGAAGCAGCTGCAGGGCTGCTAGCTGCCTCCCAGCACTCTGCCTACCCGCTGGAGGCTTTGCCACCAGCTACAGTGTGGGTGGGGGCTGGTTCGGGGAAGGCATCCTCAATGGCAACGAGAAGGAGACCATGCAGTTCCTGAATGACCGCCTGGCCAATTACCTGGAGAAGGTGCGCCAGCTGGAGCAGGAGAATGCAGAGCTGGAGGGCCGCATCCGTGAGTGGTGTGAGCAACAGGTTCCCTACATGTGCCCTGACTACCAGTCTTACTTCCGGACCATTGAGGAACTTCAGAAGAAGGTAAGAAATCCGCAGTGGCGTTGGCTGTCTGAGAGACTGGGGATCATTTGTGATGGCAGCCCTGTCGCCATAGAGCATGTTGGAGGTCACAGAGCACATTCGCTTCTGTGGTCTCCTGTGTTCTTCCCAATAATCCAATGAGGGAGGTATCATTAGCCTGTTTTACAGATGGGAACACTGAGGCTTATGCTGGTTATGTGACTTACTCCAGGCAATTTAGTTGGCAGTTGGTGGAGCCAGATTTTGAACATAGGGTTTATACACTAACTGGCTGTGTGACCTTTGGTATCATACACAGCACGCTTCTCTGACTGACCCTTAATTCTCTCACTCTCATCTTTTAAAGGTGAGGGGATTGGATTTGATGTGTTACATACAACTCATGTTTCTCATAGCTACTCCAGGCCAGAAAGGTATCCTGCTTGCCTGTCAGAAAAGTCTCCTTCTGGCCGGGTCCATATTCACTGAAAGTCATAGCTGGGTCCTGAGAGGTCTCATTTATGATCAGAGGAATGCACAGTACTCTGATGGACTCTGGCCCAGGCCTCCCATTAGGCCAGGAGACAGAAAGTAGTCTTGTTCCTCTGTGTTTAGCTTTTCCTGCAGCATTTCCATCCCTCCATCTCTCTGACCTCTGATTATTGTGTTGGAAAAGACCTTTGAACTTTGCTAGTGTGATCCCTTTCTCATTTGACTTGAAAACACCCAGGGGGCCTCACTCAGCTGCAAGAGTCTGGGGATGGGTGACTCCCTCCCCCAGAGATAGCCCAGACTAATTCTGGGCAATTCTGACCAGCAGAATGTGCCCTCTTTCACTGAACTCCCTTCTTTATTTTCTCAGAACCTGTGCACCAAGGCTGAGAATGCCAGACTGGTTGTGCAGATTGACAATGCCAAGCTGGCTGCAGATGACTTCAGGACCAAGTGAGTTGTCCAAGGGACAGGGACTGACACCCTCCCTCTTGTTTGTCCCTTGGTCAGGAATTGATAGAACTGGATATTGGTGATGGCCAGGCTCAGAGTTTTGGCTGCACCGAGTCACTGACGTAGGACTCACAGTACCGACGTGTCTAGGGTGGGAGCTGACTTACATACAAAAAAGAAATGTAGTGTCAGCTACCTTGCTCTGTGACTGCAGGTATGAGACGGAGCTGTCCATGCGGCAGCTGGTGGAGGCCGACATCAATGGTCTACGCAGGATCCTGGACGACCTGACCTTGTGCAAGTCTGACCTGGAGGCCCAGGTGGAGTCTCTGAAGGAGGAGCTATTGTGTCTGAAGAAGAACCATGAGGAGGTGAGCATGGGGAACTGTTGAGTATTGGGGAGGAGGTAGGCATGGAGAGCACATGGGTAAGGAAGAGGAGGTGAGCAGGGCAGGCAGAGAAGTTGGCACTGACCATGGTCTTACCATAGGAAGTGAACTCGCTGCGCTGCCAACTTGGTGACCGGCTCAACGTCGAGGTAGACGCTGCCCCACCTGTTGACTTGAACCGTGTCTTGGATGAAATGAGATGCCAATATGAGACCCTGGTGGAGAATAACCGTCGGGATGCTGAAGACTGGTTCAACACCCAGGTGGGTACCTAGAACCAATCAGAGCAGCAGGGACACATGACAGGAAATACAGACATAACCCTGGAGCTCTGAGTCAATAAGCCTGAGTATGAATCCCAGCTCAGCTTTGATGTTCCTATGTGACCTTGAGCAGGTAGCTGTCCTCTAAACATCAATGTCCCCAAGTGTGAAATGACTTGTGATTCTAAGTGACCTCTGCAGACCTCTGGACCTGGGTTCCCAGTGTTCCTGACCAGGTCTTATGTGTGTTACAGACAGAGGAGCTGAACAAGCAGGTGGTGTCCAGCTCGGAGCAGCTGCAGTCCTGCCAGGCAGAGATCATCGAGCTGAGACGCACGGTCAATGGCCTGGAGATCGAGCTGCAGGCCCAGCACAGCTTGGTGAGTTCTGAGACTGGAACAGGGCTGTTGTGGGACTAAGCCAACAGCACGGGAGTCCCCAGCTTCCATGGTGTGGCCACACAGGCGGACTCCAGGGTTCATTTTTCTTGAGCATCCGGACATCTCTGTGCAAAGGAGATGGAATGAGGGCCCAGCTCTGAGGGGCAGATACCCCAGTGATAAAAGACAGGAGACCCATAGTACCCAGCACATCATGGCAGCAGCTCTGGCAGTTGTGTAAGCAGATATACCTTCTGAGTCACTCAGAGAAGAGATGTTTTTAATAGCGGGGATGCTCTTTAGGAGGCTACGGGGGCTTATTGGCTCATCTCAAATGAGATGTCAGATGGGGAACGAAGGTGGCTCCTCCTAGCTCACAGTGATTCTCTGAGCTCCTGTTCTTGGATTCTGAGGTTTCACCAAGATCCAGGTAGATTAAATGCATCATTGTTGCTCCTTCTTAGACCTTTATCTAACCTTCTGTCTCTCTATATAATCTCTCCCCTCACAGAGAGATGCTTTGGAATCCACCCTGGCTGAAACCGAGGCCCGCTACAGCTCCCAGCTGGCCCAGATGCAGTACATGATCACTAATGTGGAGGCCCAGCTCGCTGAGATCCGGGCTGACCTGGAGCGGCAGAACCAGGAGTACCAGGTGCTGCTGGATGTCCGGGCCCGGCTGGAGTGCGAGATCAACACATACAGAGGCCTGCTGGAGAGCGAGGACAGCAAGTAGGTATCACTGGGAATGCAATCCACAAGGTTCCAGGGAGACAGCTTGGCACCTGGGAGAAGCCCTACATTAGGGGTAAGGAATCCTGGGTGTTGGATTTGATCTTATTTAAAATTGACTGTGTGACCCTAGCCACTGCCTTTTCTTCTTTGGTAAAATTAGAGGGCAGGATTGGGTGGTTTTCAAATGTCTTCCAGTTTGTACTTTCTGGACTTTGCTCTGAGTTCTTGAAACAGCAAGGGGAGAACACAGTGGTCTGACCGTTTTCTTTCTCCTAGGCTCCCCTGTAACCCGTGTGCTCCCGACTACTCGCCCTCCAAGTCCTGTCTTCCTTGTCTTCCGGCAGCCTCCTGTGGTCCGGGCACCACCCGAATGAATTGCAGCCCCCGCCCCATTTGTGTGCCCTGTCCGGGGGGCCGGTTCTGAGAGTGACTGACTCGGAAGGTCAGGGCCATTGTTTCCAGGACTTGGGTCTGGTGTCTATTGACCCTTAATCCTCAAAGTCCAATTCCCTTCTCTAGGCAGAAACCAAGGCCTAGCCCTGAGAGGGCTCACTGCAAATACACCTTCAAATTTCACAAAACCATACAAATACTAAGCCTGGCTGCCCCTGAAGGCCTCAATCCCTTATCATTTCAATGGGTGCTGGGTCTCTGTTCTCAGTCTGCCTCTGGATCAGGCTTTCCTTTTGGGTGTTGTTCTAGTGGGTTCTGAAATACAATAGAAGACTTCCGTTGGTAGAACAATAAAATACATTTGCTCTGGCTCTTGATTCCTTATTTGCCCTATTCTGGCATTGTTGGCTTCTGTCTCTCTCTGCTGGGTTCAGAGGGATGACTCTTGGGTAGATGGATGGAGGATGTTTGACCAAGTATGACCCTGGGGATGATAGGGTCACTAAGCCCCTGTTTGGGTGGTGGGAGGATAGAGGTCTATAGTGAGGTTTCCCCAGTAACTGTAGCTTTTGCTTGGTTTTCCTGATGAAAATTTTTCTTTAAGGGTCCAACATGGTGTCAGGTGTTGTCAAACCTGTCCTCCTGTTCCTCTTATACATATTCATGGTGATGCAGACTAGGATGAATAAAATGGAAAGCAGTATGAGTTGGGCATTTTAGGATATATTAGCCTCATGTTCTTATAAAAGTAGCAATATGGTGTCCCACGGCTAAGGTACTTTAAAACAAAGGTTTGTTTATGTCAACTGTGGCCCTTTCTTGAAGTCCTTCCAGTTCAGCAAATCTCCTTACTAGTCCTCATCTTGTCACAGCAGGAGACGGGACAATGAGTCTGCCAACGTGACTTCTCCCATAGCTAGAGATTCTGAGGATCATACCTGTTCTTACGTTCTCTTGGCATCTGTGGAGACACACAGTGCCTTTGGGTTCCAAAGCATTTCCACATGGATGTGGGAGCTCCCAGCATCTTTGTCATTGGGTCCAGAATGTTCTCCCCTAACAGGCCAGGCAAATAACTAGTTCCATCAATCTCACATGTAAAATGGATAAGAGTGAAGGTAAAACTTTCTAAGATAGAAAGGAAGGCAAGTTATCCCCAGATGGATAATATTCCTCATAAGATGCCTGGAACGATTGCTAAGGACCACCAAAGATGTTGAGAGAGCAGAAGCAGATTGGTGAGAGATACTGACCAAGGCAGGCTTGAAATCTGTTTTTTTCTGGTTCAACCCCTTGCTAAGAATTTTCATTTGCACCCAAGATACGCTAAATCAAGATCCCCAGGTGATACCTTGTTCGAAACCCTGCTTGATACCTGCCCTACCGCCTTCAGGTGGGTGCCCAGTATAGTTCATTCTGATTCAATATTAGATTCCTCCTTTCTAATGCCTTATAGGCCTTGGATCTTTGTTTTTTCTCAGCCCTCTTGCTCTTGACATCCCATAAAACCTCAGAGTTAGCCTTTTTGGGACACCTTGTGTGGTTTGCTGAGGCTCCATCACCCAAGGGTAGGGTGACTTTAACATCTTTCAATTCATTCAACAAACCCTTACCAAGTACCTCCCTTGTGCCAGCAAGTGTGTTGCTACCAAGGACTGGATTGCTCGAGGGAGGCTTTGGGATGGGGCAGAAAGGCTGTCCACTTATGACCTCATTTTCCCTTTCTAAGGATGTCCACTTATGACATTTCTAGTGTAGTGGTTACAAGTTGGGCTGCTAACCTCAAGGTCAGTAGTTTGAAAGTATCAGCTGCTCCACGGGACTCTAATAAACATTTACAGCCTCGGAAACCCTATACAGGTTTGCTATGAGTCGAAACCGACTCCACGGCAAACCACCACCATCACTACCACCTCAGTGGTAAGAAGAGGTCAGGTAAAGGAGGCTATGATGTTAGTGCAATGAGCATAGGTTTTGAAGTCTGAGTGATGTGTGTTCAAATCCTTGTCTCACCACATACTGCCTGTGGGCACTTGAGCAAGTCCTAGACCCTTTTGAATTTCAGTAAATTGGAGAATGTGACATTTAAGACCTTAATGTTTTGTTAAATGTATGCTGGGCATTTGAAAACTGGCCTATATTGTCGACTCGCTATTCTAGCGTTGCCTGGATCGCTCTGAAGGTAGACATCATTGCCAGTCCTTAGTTTCATCTCTGAGGTTTCCTTCCAAGCAATAACGCCCAGGGTAAACCAGGCCCCCGGAAGTGGATATACAGTTATGTGACTAAGTGCTTGGCTACTTACTGAATTGTTGGCAGTTTGAGTTCATTCAGAGGTGCCTCGGAAGCTTGAGGTTTTTAATCATCAAAGGTGTTCTACTTCTGAAAAGTGAGCCATTAAAAACTCTATGGACCACAGTTCTATTCTGACACACATGGGCTTGCCATGCGTAGGAATCAACTTGATAGCAATTGGTTTGGTTTGTTGGTTTTGATTTTCTCTCTAATTCTGACACTGACGAAGGTCAGTGGGGAAGACTCAAGTCAGCAGCACATGTATGTGGGGCATGTGAACTAGAGTCAGTTCTGTTTTATATAAAAACACATCCTTCATTTTTATGGCCTACTTTGTGGCCTTTTCCAAACCCATGATGGTAAAGCCTTCCAAGATGGACCCAATCAGGTCAGGTATAGCCTTGCCTTTAATTATTGTTTACTTCGTTTGCTAGTGCTTTTTAATGATCATACTGTTACCATTCAGAGAACTTCAACCTTGACTGCACATTGGAATGACCTGAAGAACTTTAAAAAAATGCTGATGCCTGGGTCTTACCTTTAGAAATTTTGATTTAATTGGTCTGGGTCCTGGTGTGGTTTTCTAGGATAAGTGCTGGACTGTTCACCATCAGGTTGGCAGTTCAAACTCACCAGTTGCTCTGAGGGAGAAAGATTTCTGCTCCCATAAAGAATTATAACCTTGCTCTGTCGACTTGATGACTACTTTTATTTTTTTGCACATGAGCTGGAGTCAGGATCTTCTAAAGTTCTTAAGGTGCTTTTTTTTTTTTTTTTTTTAATGTTTTATTGTGAATTTTGTGATAGTTTACATGGGAGAACATTAGTTTTACATTCATCTTATCATATATCGTTTCATTGCCATGGTTACAATCCCCTCCATGCATCATCAACCAACCAAAGGGTATACCCAACAAGCCCCCCACCCCCCACCCCAGTGGTCATCAGCACACAGCCCCTCTCCCTCTCTGATCTAAAGTCCCCAGTTGCTCCATCTCTCCAAGTCATTGTCTCTGCCTCCATCTCTGATGTCACTGCTTCTCTGGGTAGTGTGGGGACCACTTTTTTGAGAACCACTCTAAACTCCCTTTACAATAATAGCTCTTTAAGGAGGTTTTTTTTTTTAGGAATAAATGGATAAATGAATGCTAAGTACCAATCACAGTGTTGTTGTTGCTGTTGGTAAGTGCCATTGAGTTGGTTCCAATTCATAGTGACCTTGTATAGGGTTTCCAAGGAGCCGCTTGATGGGTTTGAACTGCTGACTCATGGTTAGCAGTCCAGTGCTTATCCTACAGCACCATACTAGAACTGCACCATGCACAGTTCTTGAGACTTAGAGATATTTAATAAATACTGGTTTTGATATTCGAAGTATATTCTGATAAGTATTACCAATCTCGCAACTCTTGTGTGCTATGGGTTTGGAACCGTTTACAAGCATGCCATAGCTTTAAGATGTTTGTCTTCCTATTTGATTTTGGGTTGCTAGAAATGTTTGAAACAAGGAGTCACCAGGCTCGTCCTTCCAGCCAATGCCAATATGTTCTTTAAGTAGTTAATCCCAACAAAATGACAGAAATTTGTGGTTGTTGCAAGAAACGTGAATTGAGAGATTATTTAATATTACCCTTTCAATTTATAAGAACAGAATGAAGTCCACAGAGGCAAAGGTTAGATAGTAAATTATTGTTGTTGTTGTATGCTGCTGAGTTGATTCTGACTCACAACAACCCTGTAGGATGGAGTAGAACTGCCCCCATAAAGAGTCCTAGGCTGTAATTTTCATGGGAGCAGATTGACAGGCCTCTTCTCCCATGATGCCCATGGTGGCTTTGAAACACCGACTTTTGGGTTAGCAGCCAAGTGCCACTAGGGCTCCTTGCATAGCAAATTAGAGGTTTGCTAGGAAAACAGTGTTTCCATCTTGACTTTCCTTAATCAGGGAATAGTGAAGGGTGAACATTTCTTCTTTCCACCCTTTTACCAACACTTCTGGGAATATGTGACAATAAGACAAAGACTTATACCCAATATTATATTCAGAAGATTGTTAGTGTCTTGTATTGTCAAGTCACCTCTGCCTCATGACTACCATGTGTGCTGCAGAGTGGAACTGCCCCATAGGGTTCTCTTGGCTGCTGTAATCTTTAATGGAAACGCATTGTCAGGGTGTTCTACTGCAGTGCCACTGCATGGGTTCCTACTGCCAAGCTCTGTTACCAGCTGAGTGCCAACCGTTTGCACCACACAGGATCTTGTATTAAGATTACGGAATTGATGCCTATATTACACACACACACACACACACACACACACACACACACATTAAATATGAAGTATGTAAGCCCACAACTATTGTAGCCTGGACTGAGAATCGCTGACCTAGCATGTTGCTTTCCTAAGGGAATGGCCAAAGTTTGTATAATTGGAGGTACCTGCTCTTGGTCTCCTGGTTTAGCACAGCCCAGTGTTGAAAATGTGGCTTCTCAAGGGAGCTGATTCACCTTACTTGTAGTCTCTGAGGTCCTGAAGTGAGCACTCACTCTCAGTCAGCTCTGAAAGTAAAAGTAGTCCTTGTTCCAGCTTGTTTAATCCCAGCCAACAAGAATTGAAGACCTGGCAACTATGTGCGAGGTGCAGCAACATGTGCAGGGAAGAAGCCCGAGGTGGTTAGGATAGAGCATCTGTGTTATGGAAAGGGTCACGATGCTGACATGCTTTTCCAGGAGTGGGGTCCTCACCTCTTCCTTTCTCAGTGGGTCCCTGAGGCTTAGGTTTTCTGTCTTGACTGGAGTTCATTCTCTCCTCTCTGAGATTGCTTTATGCCCTTTAGCAGGAAGATGCTGCACATTAGGATGCTTCAGATGTGCTTTTCCACCTCTCTAGAGATGGAACCATGGTGGCACATGGTGAGTTAAGCACTGAATTGCTGAGCAAAAGTTTGGCATTCAAACCCACCAGTTGCTCCATGGAAGGCAGATGAGTCAGTCTGCACCCATAAAGCTTACAACCCTGGAAGCCCTATGGAGCAGTTCTACTCTGCCCTCTATGAGTCAGAATGGACTCAGTGACAATGGATTGGGGATGGACACCATCTCTCCTATCGCCCTGGATTTATATTATTCAGTATCGGTGTAACTTTTGCCACCTACACATTTCCTCATTAAAGGAGCCAGGCCTCTTCCCACATGGAATGCGCTCATTAAAAGGAGCAGTCGGTGCCCTACAGAACATTGGCCTGTCTCAGAGCTAGAACAGCTGGGGGCACGGTGGGCTATGCCACTGAGGTTGGCTATCAGTCCCGCCCTAGTAATGAGAGCCCAGGCCTGGAGTTGGTCCTTTGAAGATGTGTCCCGAAGCTCTCCCCTGGAGATCAATGACAGGACTCCAGAGTCCTGCTTTAGCCAAATGACAAGCTTGGCCACTTTTATGAGGAAACAAACTCCTTATAGGATACCAAATTACCAATTAATTAGCAGTTTCCTCTGAGGATAAATGTAAACATCAACACCACTCCATGACGACTTTCTAGAGTGAACCCCCTCACTGCAAGGGTATAAAAAGGCTGGGGCATGATGGGGTCTGTAGACACTGGAGAGCCAGCTGAGGAGAAGGGGGCCTCCCAACATGACGTCCAACTGCTGTGTCACTAATAGTTCACCGGCCTCCATCAAGGGCTGCCCCCGACCCTCCTCAGTTTGCTCCAGCAGTATGAGTTGCCGGCCTGAGCTATGTCTGGGTTATGTCTGCCAGCCCATCGCATGCATGCCTTCTGCCTGCATGCCAACCACGTACCGGCCATCCAGCTGTCTCTCCAAGACCTACCTGTCTAGCTCTTGTCGGCTTAGCAGCTGCCGACCAAACAGTGGCATCTCCAGCTCCATGGGTACCTGTGGTTGGTATTGTGAAGGTGCCTTCAATGGTAATGAGAAGGAGACCATGCAGTTCCTGAACGACCGCCTAGCCAACTACCTGGAGAAGGTGCGCCAGCTGGAGCGGGAAAATGCAGAGCTGGAGGGCAAGATCCAAGAGACCTGTCAGTCTCAGGTGCCCACCTTGTGTCCAGACTACCAATCCTACTTCCGAACCATCGAGGAACTCCAGCAGAAGGTAAGGGAAAGCAGGTGAACCGATTCATTAGAAAGACATCCATACTAGACGGCATTCCCGATTTTAATCTCATTAGTTTATTAAGTTGTGTTCAGGAAAAAGAGACCTCCCTAGGGCATAGGATTGATCTCATAATTTCAGTGCTCATCCAGAGTACCTCATACATAGAATTAAGCATTGACTCATTGGGTGACTGAGAGGTCCCTTCCCTTCCCCAGTTCTCAGTTTCCTCATCTGTAAAACGGGGATAATAATGGTCCTTACTCAACGGGTGTGTCAATGAAACAGTGCAAGTGGGACAGCACCTGGCATGGGGTGAGTTTTCAGTAAAGATTAGCACTTGTCAAGTACACTTCTAATTGTCATGTGAATGACATCAGACTTAACAAGATTCCTTCTCTTCAATATTGCTCACTGCCTCCAAAATGGGGCATTGGATTTATTAGGACCCAGAATTCACAAAAAGTAAATCTGAAGGCCTACTAGAACTAGCAGTTCACTGAATACCCTCCAGAGTTCCAGGAAAGGCTTCTGCAAGATAGTTGTGGGGCAGGGCTCTACTCATGCTACTGTCTTCTTACTTGGGTTCCTTTTCCTCTTTCTAACTGGACTTGGCCCATAGGTTCTGTGCACCAAGGCAGAGAATGCCAGGATGGTTGTGCACATTGATAATGCCAAGCTGGCTGCGGACGACTTCAGGACAAAGTAAGTTTGACCAGAGGGTGCCCTCTCTCTCTCCACACACATGGGGCAGCTTTCTAGTAGTTTCACAGAGCACTGGTAAAGCACGGGCAGTTCAAGGCCTTCCCTAAGATGCTGTATTTGGCTCTATGTCCTCAGTTCCTGACACTGTCCTTGTACAGGTACGAGACAGAGCTGTCCATACGGCAGCTGGTGGAGGCCGACATCAACGGCCTACGCAGGATCCTGGATGAACTGACCCTGTGCAAGGCCGACCTGGAGATGCAGGTGGAGTCTCTGAAGGAGGAGCTGCTGTGTCTGAAGAAGAACCACGAGGAGGTGAGCCCTGCAGTCAAGCTGCAGCCCTTGGGAAGCAGAGTGGGAAGAATGGGGGTGGGGGTGGGTGGATTGGAGTTGGATCGGTGTACTTGAAAATTTGAGGTCTGACATGTATCATTTCTGTGACTTGCCCAAACATCTGTCAAACCCAAACACTATCATATGTGACTGTGGTGAGAATTAAATGAGGTTAAGGAGCTCTGGTAGCGTAGTGGTTACGAATCGGGCTGCGAACCTTAAGGTCAGCGGTTCGAAACTACCAGCTGCTCCACGGGAGAAAGATGAGGCTTTCTACTCCCGTAAGGATTTACACCCTCGGAAACCCTGTACAGGGTCGCTATGGGTCGGAACCGACTCGATGGCACTTAACAACAACAACAACAACAACAGGGTTATAAAACACCTGTCATTTGGTAGTGGTTGTTGTTAAGTACCTTGGAGTCAGTCCTGACTCAGTGACCCTGTGTAAGGCTTCCAAGGAGCAGCTGGTGAGTTTGAACCACCGACCCTGTGTTTTAAACCACTGACCTTGTGGTCCAGTGCTTTAGCCCACAGCGCCATGCCATCCTTTCCCTTCTGCATTTCCCGGATGAGTGTGACTGATAAAGGGTTTGCTGACTGCATTTGTGATTCTCTTGAGGGAGAGTGGTGTGTACGCTAGGGTCAGAGGTTGTATTCTGGAACTCAAATGGAATGGCCTGTCCACTTCTGCCAGGCTAAGTCACTGGGGGTGAGCACCCTCATCCCTTTTAGGGAGACTTGAACTACAGTCATTTTTTTCTTTCCATCCCTATCCTCTTCCCCCGCCCCCTCTCTTCTGTTTGTGTATTATATACTTCAGCTGAAAACAACTGGCAAGCCCTTTACTTCCTGATTCTTCTTTGGAGCGAAAGCTCTCTTTCCTGGATGTCTGTGTGCTGCCAACCTTCCCTGAACCATGGTGCTGCTTTTTCTCCTTCCCGGAGTTGACTCTACACTCAACCTTTTGACTTGGGATTTGAATGAACAAGTGCCTCTGAATCCTGGCTGACTTTCCATAGCTTAAGTGTAGAGTAATAATCAGTCACCATGTTCTCACTGAGCACCCAGAAGGGCATGAGCCTGACTTATCCTACTTAAATGAGAGAACTGGGAACCATACCAAGAAGGCACTAATGAAGCATTATCACATACTCTTCAGGCTCAGTGACAACTTTCTCTCTTTGGCAGCCAAGCTTGGGGAGGTGCCCACTCTGACTTGGGCCTTGAACTAAGTAAAGTCAAGTCCCCACTGTCCTCCTTTCCCAGATGGACACAGGTTGGGAGAGTGGGCCATGACTACCAGGGCACGAGCTTTCCTTTTTAGCTCAAATGGGTCAAACAAGCACACTGATGTTGCTCTTAGCTTCTGCCAAAGCAATAGGAATTGCTTCTATTGGAAGCCACCTTCCAACTGGGAGACCATTAAGACTCTGTGGAGACTCATCTGGAGTCATGGAAGGTTTCCTTTAACATTGAGATTCTCTAACTTTTCCTCTTCCATTGTTATGCCCCCTCCTGAGAGGTAAACTGGGACTGTGTGACTTTCATGATTGCTTGGGCTTTTGTACATTTTCAGGAAGTCAGTGCCCTTCGATGTCAGCTTGGGGACCGCCTTAACATTGAGGTGGATGCTGTGCCCCCAGTGGACCTGAACAAGATGCTGGAAGAGATGCGATGTCAGTATGAGACTGTGGTGGAGACCAACCGCAGGGATGTGGAAGAATGGTTCAACACACAGGTGGGCCTCTTGCAGATGGGCTGGTCTTCCAGTGTCCCTGAAAAGACACCCCTAACTTCTCTTGTCCACTCCCACCCCATCACAGATGGAGGAGCTTAACCAGCAGGTGGCCACGAGCTCTGAGCAGCTTCAGAGCTACCAGTCGGATATCATTGATTTGAGGCGGACGGTCAACACACTGGAGATTGAGATGCAGGCTCAGCATAGCCTGGTGAGTGATACTGGGGGGTGCCCTTCTCCTCCCACTCTAGATGCAGGTGGTGCTCAACGTAGGTGCAGGCACCTGTGAAGAAGGTGGCATGGGCCAGGTTTCATCCACCATGAATGCTCACTGAGATGTCATTTCCTGGAGCGAGTTTTCTACCAAGATCCAGCTCAGAGATAAAAAGGGGCATGTTTCCAAGCTGACCTGGATCAGGGGGGACAATATGGGCACTGACAAACACAGTTCTCCAAGAGGGCTTGTTTTCTGCTTAGCCTGACCTTCTAAACCTGGGTTTCTTGACCTCACCTACAGAGGTTCATAAAAATTCTGATGCCTAGGTTTCTTTCTAGAACAATTGAATCTCTGGAGGTGGGCTTGGTCCTGGGTATTTTTATAAAAGCTTCCAGGTGACTCTAAGGCACACCCAAGGTTGAGAACCATTGTTCTAAACGATGCTTTGGAGCAGGCATATTTCATGAACCTTAGATCCAAAACCTGAGCCAGATCTAGGTTGTGAAAGGAATAAGGGACTTGCTATATGATTTGGGGGTAAGCCCTGGCTCAACCGACTGTTTAACTTTGAACAAATCACCGCACCTTTCTGGGCTTCAGTTTCCATAGTCACTTAGGTAGAGAGAAGTCATTTCCAACTTCAAAGAAAGACTTGGCTCATCTAGATCCTTTCAGAATCAGGCCATGGAAAATAGCTCTGCTCCTCAGAGGAGGTATTCCTTTGCTGTAGAGGGACTCCCTGGAAAACACGCTGACGGAGACGGAGGCGCGCTACAGCTCTCAGCTGGCCCAGATGCAGTGCATGATCACCAACGTGGAGGCCCAGTTGGCTGACATCCGCTGTGACCTGGAGCGTCAGAACCAGGAGTACAAAGTGCTGCTGGATGTCAAGGCACGGCTGGAGTGTGAGATCAACACGTACCGAGGCCTGCTGGAGAGCGAGGACTGCAAGTACGTAGATCTAGCTGAGGCAGTCCTGAAAGATACGTGTGAGGGTGGGCATATACTTATTAAAGAGCCTACTGTATGCCTCACACAGTGTGAGGGTGAGACACAGACATGGCTGCTGCCCTCTTGAAGCCCACTGCTTAGGAGGGGAGACAGACCAGAAGAGACTAATCAGAAATTAATACTCTGGCATGAGGTAAATGGGAAACAGAAATCAGGGGAGGTTTCATGGAGGATTTGACAGTTGAGTTGAACTCTGAGTTGGGAGGGAGGAGTGTTCTAGAAGTAAGAAACAGGGCACAAGTCCTGTTATCTGAATAGTATGATCCATGGAGGAACGGAAAGAGGGTCAGAGTGATTGAAACTCAGAGAACAACAGAGTCACTACGAGGTGAGTCTGGGGCCAGAGGTGGCAGTGGAATCGTGTAGAACTATGCAGGCTGTATTAAGAATCTGCTATGGGTCAGGATTGACTTGGTGACAATAAACTTATTGTGAAGTTGGGCTTCTCTACTAATCCTGCCTCAAACGTGGCTTCCTTCAACAGGTTACCCTGTCACCCATGCTCCACTCCTTCCTGCCCACCCTGTGCCCCCCGCACAGTCTGTGTGCCCCGCACTGTCTGTGGACCTGGTCCTCAAGGCCGATACTGAAGTCCCGGAGCTGGGCAGCATGATACCTCCTCACGCTGAACCTGACCACAGTTACGCGGCCATTCCCCACCAACAAGGAAGACTGTGAGCAGGAACCAGGAAGTGGACATCTGTAAGGTCCTCTGCTACTGCAGCAGGTGCATTAGCCCCCCATCTGCCTGAACCTGCCTAGCTTGTATTCCCTAGGGTGAACCGTTCTCTCTGGTGATGTTTCTTGGTGTCTGTGCTGCCTCATAGAGCATGTGTTCTAAGTAAATTGGTAAATAAAGCCTCATTCAGTGGCCCTGCAAACACGGCTCTCTCTGTTTTGTCACTTCTGTTGCTGTATCCACAAGCCAGTTCTGCTCAGGCGGAGTCAAGAGGAATGTGATTGAATTCTAGATTTATTTTTATGTTTCTTCTGCTTCTGTAGGCTTGAGACACTTTCACTAAAAAGGTCCTCATGCCATAAACCAGTTAAAAGCAGGATATTGGTCCAGAGCCACGTAATAAAAGAATAAAGGGAGAAGGGGGATAATTATGCCAGAAATCTAGGCCAAACGATTGCAATTGAGAATAAAACCCATCTTTAAACCTCATTATAGCTGGTACAATGGGATCATTCATTCACTCAGAAGCTCTTCACCGACCAGGTGCCAGTTTCTGTATTTGTTGTTAGTTGCCATCGAGTCTGTTCTGTGTCTTGGCAACCTGATGTATCACAGAAGACAACGCTGTCCAATCCTGGGCCATCTGCACCATTGTTGGTAGGCTTCCCTCATTTTCCTGACCCACTGCTTTGCCAAACATGAGATTCATAGGCCTGTTCTGTCCAGCATGAGATTCTTCTAGCAATTGGTCTTTCTTGATGACATGCCCAAAGTTAGTGAGCTGAAGCCTTGCCATCCTTACTTCTAGTGAACACTCTGGTTGTATTTCTTCTAAGACTGATTGCTTCATTTTCTGGCAGCCCATCATACATTCAATATTCTTTACCAACACCACAATTCGAATGCATCAATTCTGCTTCTGTCTTCCTTTTTCATTGTCTAGCTTTTACATGCATATAAGACAATAAAAAAGATTATGATTTGGGTCAGGCCCACCTTAGTCATCAAAGTGACATCTTTGCTTAAAACTTTAAGGAAGTCTTTTGTAGCAGATATGCCCAATGTAGATCCTGTTAATAATACTCTTTGCAATATCAATGTTAATCTTTGCAATAATCTATGTAAAAGGTATCTTATTTTCTCTATTTAATAAATGAGGAAACTGAGACCTGGGGAGGCTTAGAAACTTGCCAAGATCACACAGCTACCAATGGTAGAGTCAGGATTCAAATCCAGGCCTTCAGGCTCCAGAGATATTTAACCAAATTATATTCCAAGTCCTTTTGCAAACTACAGCTGGGTGCGGGGGAATACCAGAAAATGCAAGTAGTCCTTACTCTCCTTGTTGTTGTTGTTGTTGTTAAGTGCTGTCGAGTCAGTTCTGACCCATAGCGTACTCTCCTTAGATGCTTAAAATCAGAGAAGAAGTTAAAAATCAGTTCTTTCCTCAATAAGGGGGAATAAAGTTATATGAAAACTTGAAGCACTTACTGATGGAGATCAAAGACTACAGCTTTCAGTATGAACTACACCTCAACATAAAGAAAATGCAAATTCTCACAAATGGACAAATAAGCAACATCATGATAAAAGGAGAAAGTATTTAAATTGTCAAAGATTTAATTTTACTTGGATCCACAACCAATGCTCATGGAACTATCAGTCAAGAAATCAAACGACTTATTGCATTGGTTAAATCTTCTGCAAAAACCTCTGTCAAGTGTTAAAATGCTAAGATGTCACTTTGAGGACTAAGGTGCACCTGACCCAAGTCATTTCAATTGCCTCAAATGCATGCAAAAGCTGGACAATGAATAAGGAAGACCAGAAAAGAATTGATGCACTTGGATTATGAAGAAATGCTGAAAGAATTGGTGAAGAACGCTGGTAGTCCCAGAAGAACCAATAAATCTGTCTTGGGAGAAGTATAGACAGAAAGTCACTTAAAGAAGTGAGGATAATAAGACTATCTCACATACTGTGGACAGGGTATCAGGAGAGACCAGTCTCTGGGAAAGGACAGCATGCTTGTCAAATAGAAGGTCAGCTACAAAGAAGCCAACCTCTGTGAGATGCGTTGGCACAGTGGCTGTAACAATGGACTCCAACCATAGCAATGATTCTAAGGATGGTGTCTCCTGTTGGACATAGAGTCACACAATTGACTTGGCAGTATCTAACAACAACAACAACAACAATGACAGTAATTACCATTTATGTGCACTTATAATGCACAAGGTGTATCATTGAGTGTGCTATATAAATTAACATGTAATTCTCACAACCACTTTGTATGGTAGGCAGCATCATGTCTGATGTGGCAGAGACTTGGCAACTGAGACACAGCGAATGGCTAAGTTAGCTGTCTAAGATTACAAGCCCGGACACAAATTTGAACCCAGGTCTAGGTGTTATTTTTGTTATGTGCCGTGAAGTTGGTTCCGACTCATAGCGATCCTGTACAGAGTTTCTGAGGCTGTAAATCTTTATGGGAGCAGAAAGCCTCATCTTTCTCCCGCTAAAGATGAGCCTAGTATGTCTAGTATTATAATATATCTAGGGGAGTCTAGTATTATTTAAACTACTCTGCGATCCTGCCAAATTCCTAACTAGCAATAAATTACACACCTTAACAAAGATTGGGAGAAACTATTTGCTTGGGAGGATCAAAAGAGCTTCATGTTTAAGGTGGCATTTGAGATGGGCCTCGAAAGTTGGATAGGATGCCAATGGAGGCAAAGCCTATCTGTGAGGGAGGGAGAAGTTTGTGGGGTGAAGCAGAAATTATGAGTAGGAGGCCTTGTATGGTCCTTTTGGCTGGAGCAATTGGCTCTTGTGAGAGATTGGTAGGAAATAAAGGATCAGACTGTGGGGGGCCTCAGGTATCACACTGAAGGGCTTGACTCCATCCTGAAGGTGGTGGGAGGGTTGCCGGAACATTTGAGCCCAAGAATGACCTGACCAGAGTGGTATTTTCAGAAGTTTAGCTAAGGAGTATAAAATGAGATGGCTGTGAGCCAGGAAGAAAGCTGGTGAATAATCTGTGGGAGAAGTTAGTGGCAGGCTAAAGTAAAGCGAAGACAATGAGGATAGAAAAATGAAAGATCGCTTTGAGAGACAGGGTGAAGGACCTGATCCGACCTGGTAACTGACAGGACATGGTGGTAAAGAGGTGAGAGACAAGAACAGGAATCTTGAACACCTTTCTGAACCTCACCTTCCAAACACATAGTTCTCCCTTAATGAGATGAAGTGATGTTTCTATTAAGTACCTGCCCGCTGGCTTTGCCAAGGAATGATGAAAAATGGATCAGATCCTGAAGATGCCTTGGGGCTCTGCAGACACGATCCCACATGTCTACTTGGCAGACAAGGTCATTACCCTGACAGAAGAAGGCACACATACACTCTGCTCAGAAAACTGTGGTTTACAGCAAATTGTGTGTGTTAGAATGTCAATGGGCTGGAATGCCAAAGGAGAGGGGTTTCTGGCTGATTGGATTTTCTAATAACTGAGTGTCAACCAGCAGTTCTTGAACTGAACAGACTGAACAGAACCGAATCTTTGACCTAAAATCAGAGACCTGATCTGTCCAGTAAGGTAGCCACTAACTACATGTGGCTTTAAAATTTTCAATTGAATAAAATGAAATGAAATTGAAAATGTTAGCTCCTCATTTGCACTAGCCGCATTTCAAATGTTCCAGAACGATAAGTGGCTGGCGGTACCACACTAGACACCATTGTTATTGTTGTTAAGTGTGTTGAATTGGTTCCAACTCATGGTGACCCTGTATATGGTTTCCCAGGAGCGACTGGTGAGTTTGAACTGCTGACCTTGTGATTCAAACAGACCTTGCGGTCCAGCACTTTATCTCACAGCATCACACCTGCCGGGGTCTGACCTCGACATAGTTGTGTTGTTCACGAGTGTTTGGTTCACGAGGAGGGGAGATCCAGCGGCGATAGAGATAGCAAAAGAGACACAGAGACGCAAAGAGAGAGACAAAGAGACACTCCGAAACCAGAGTGAATGCTGGACTGACATCAGGCAGATTCTGCATTGCAAACATCTCAGCCATGAAGGCCGTAATATCCTGCATAGTAAGCATCTTAGCTAAACAGGCAGTATGGTTGCAAAGCTGGACTGTGCCCCTTGCATGCTGTAACGCACGCCTTGCCAGTCGTAATGCACCTGGATTCGGTCTGCGCCTTCCTTTTATTTAGGGGAGGTACTTTACACAAAGTTAGGAGGGGCTAAGACAAGGTACAGCTGTCAATCTTATTTTCCCAGACATTCAGGCAACTTTACATCATACTTTGCAGGTTCGAATCTCATGACCGCAACTTGGTTTCTCAAGCTTAATTAACATACCTTTTAGCACCTAGCCTCAAATGGAGGGAGGAAAGGGAGGATTGGGAGGATTCCCATTGTGTCGGCTGCCCAGCCCAGGTTCTTCACGAAAAGAGGCGCCTGGGTGAATAGACAGCACCTGGAAACACTTTAGGGAGGACATTCCTATTGTCCTTGGAACAGACCAGGGAGCCACCCAATTTACCTTGAATGAATTCTCTGAGGGAAGAACTTTGCCTGTTTAGAATTTTACAGTCTTGACTTTTAGGAAAATATTACATTTATCTGTGTATATCAAGGGCTTCATGTCTGCAATTAATAAAACATAACTGGATATTAAAATTAAAAATAATTTGTTATTAACTGCCAGGTGGCTAGATCTGTTACACTCGGGCCTATAGGGCCTCGAACCTCTGACCAGGCCCTTCACGGTCTGCAACACACACCAAAAGCTTATTGGCCAATGCTGCCCTGGACTGTCAGAACTAGAGGACGAGGCTTACAGATGATTTGGCCCAGGACTCCCCCGATGCCGCCCCACTTTATGGAGTAGGAGT